TTACACAACATATGAGGAGAGTGGGTAAGGGGAGTCCTCATGACTCTGACACTTGGGAGAGGCCAGTCACTCTGCAATCTCCATCTTGGAACTGAATCTGTAAGCTGACCTGGTTTCAACACCCAGGCTAGTTTTTGTACTTCCCCCTCCCCTTCCCCATACTTTGTGTAGCATCTTGCCTGACAGACTTCTGTAGAAGTGGAAAGCTTGTCGTGATTTGGTGACATTTTGGTTGGTTCTAGTAAAAAGCATTGCCAATGGAACAGACCAGAGACAAGAGTGGGCACATCAGCAAATGTGAATTTATTGTGTTTGTATGGATGTGGGTGGTGCTGTGGGTTAAACCACAGAGCCTAGGGCTTGCTGATCAGAAGGTTGGCGGTTCAAATCCCCGCGACGGGGTAAGCTCCCGTTGCTCGGTTCCTGCTCCTGCCAACCTAGCTGTTCGAAAGCACGTCAAAGTGCAAGTAGATAAATAGGTACCGCTCCAGTGGGAAGGTAAACAGCATTTCCGTGCGCTGCTCTGGTTTGCCAGAAGCGGCTTAGTCATGCCGGCTCCCTTAGCCAATAAAGCGAGATGAGTGCCGCAATCCCAGAGTCGTCTGAGACTGGACCTAATGGTCAGGGGTCCCTTTACCTTTATGGTAGACTAGTTTCTCCCTCTGTCTTGCATCCAGGCAATCCTAACCTGAGTTTGCATACATATTCCAGCCAGGCAACTACACCCTAGGAGAGTACAAAGCAGGGCTGGTGAGGGCTGTGGCCTGGAAAGCATGTATGGCCAAGGGAGAGTCATGAGGGTTTGAAAGAGGCTTTTACATTGGCCTCCAGGCCTGTGATTCCTCATCCTTGGTCTATACCAGTCTACACCAAACTTGGCCCTCCAGCTGTTTGGGGACTACAACTCCCATCATCCCTAGCTAACAGGACCAGTGATCAGAGATGATGGGAAATGTAGTCCCAAAACAGCTGGAGGGCCAAGTTTGGCCTTCACTGGTCTACACTAACTACAAGTTTTTCTTCATCCCTGCCTGGAGGTGCCAGGGTAGATATGCCTAGATACATCAGCAGGGATTTAAGAGGACCTTCCCACTCATTCTGTTTCCTTTCCACATTGTCATGCAGAGTTCATCCTACCATTAAGCATCAGATTTGGAGATGGCTTTAAAGAACAGCAAGATTGTAGGCATGTCCCACTCTGGAGGGCACCTTTTGAATTTCCTGGCCTAGTGGCCCAAACATCTTGGATATTCTAGGCTGCCAGGGTAGTGTATATAGATCTAAAAGCTTGTTAACTGAAAACATTGGAATGGCTGTGCTATTTATGTGCTGTTTGCATCATACGGAATAATAAAAAGGAGGGTGGACAGCTCATTTTCCAGCAAAGTGGCCTCATTTGCCTCCCCTTTCAGCCACCCTTTTGCTTTCTATTCCTGATCATAGTCAGCAAGTGTTTCTACCTTTGTGCTCCTTTCACTTGTTTAAGTGAGCAGTGGTTCAGGTTAGGGCTGTATTTCAGTTCATCTGTAGCAGCAATAAACAAAGCATCAAGCAACAGCAGATGTAATTTATAGACTGCAAAGAGACGTAATAATAAAGTCTGTTTATTACAGCAATTAACATATCTGCTCTCCTAAGCATGCTTTCACAGTTAGAGCAAAAAAGTGCTTACTTCAAGTGCATAGTTTACAGAAAGAAAATACAAAAGAAGGAACTGAAGTCAAGCAAGCTGGTTCGAAAACGGGCATTGGGAAGAAAAGGGAATTAATCAGCCAGAAGGCCAATCGATCGGCAAGTATTTCAGAGAAAGATACAGACATGATAGGCATCTATAATTTATAATACAACCTTGTAAACCACCTTGTTAGAGCAGAAGTCTTTGGGCTTTATGTTGTTACAACCCAAAATATATCTGTTAAGTGCTAAAAGAAAATCAGCTGTGCCGTGAGGGGTTTACTGATCCGATTGGAAGAGGGTCCTGCTGTGTCAGTGTTGAGAAGCACTGGAATGTATATATAACATGCTCAGCAGGCTTGCATCAGTAATAAAGTCAGTGGGGCTACTCTGATTTTACCTTAGCTGAGGTTTGGGGGCATGTAGAATGATCTCTTTCATTTTAGCAAGGTAATCTCAGTAACATCTAGCAAGAGGTTAATGAGCCTTACTTTGTATCAAGATATATCATATATATCACATACAATCCATGAATATGTATTTTTAGCACCATTTTTTTCACCAGAAAAATTTCCCCAACCAAAAGGCTCATAGGATTTTAAGGGCACATACAGCAATTCTGTACAGATATGTGTGTTGAAATGGCCTTGGAGTCATCCAAAGCATTCAAATACTCAGTGGGCCACATAAATGGAAATATTTTCAGAGGGATACAAAAGTTCTGAAGTACACAGTGAATTCGGATAACAAGTTTTCAATTAAGGTTTTGACAAAGGAGACTCTACTGTATAGGTTTCAAATAAACGTTTTACATGTATTGCAGTGCCTTCATCCCTGCAATGTAAATAAATGGATAAACATTTAGGACTCCAAAGAGATATGGCAGACTACCATAATCATCCAATTGTGGGACTGGAAATCCTAGGAGAAGCATCCTGCATTACAAATTGCAATTATGTTCTTTTGTGAAGTGCACTTGATTATTGAGCATACAAATTTGATTATTTATCCTGCTTTATAAAAGCCTCTTTTAGCAAATACAGACTGGATTCCATAAAACAATTACACTATTTTTGGCTGGCTTTCTTTAGTGTTACAGTGATATTCTCACAGTCATTAATTTAATCTTAAGGAGACACTGTGGTGTGTCTCTTTTTAAAAAAGCTGTCATCTTAGTTAAAAGCGAACGCTTGTGTATCAAGGATAAATGACAACCACCACCTGGTTCTCAATACATTTTTTAAAATAAATAATAAATACTACAAAGGGTGTATTCTAAAAATTCTCGTAAATATTTTCTCTCTCTGAAAGGGTATGTAATAGAATGTGAATTATCTACATAGCAGAATCCTTTGTGCACTTACAAACAATCCTGTCTTCTATTCTCAGTGTACAATATTATACAACAGATATGCATGGCTTATTAAGGACATCCAGTTAGCAGGAAGCTGAGTTGACCTGTCTATCCAGTGTAGAAAAAGTCATTTATTGATATCATGCAAAATAGATAAAAATAGCTGGTTTCTATGGCTACTGAGGCTGGAAGACTACTGAGGAATATTTCTATTTAGGTTCCTATATGATGGAATCCAGAGAGCAAAAAGGGGAGAAGAAACAAATGTAGCCTGCTTCGGGGACATTTTCTGCCTTCGTGTTTCCCTGTCCTCAATTCAAGTAAGACTCCTTTTTACTGACAAGAGCTGGAGATCCAGATCAGACCAACCAGTATGGCATAGCAAGGCAAAAACTTTCTGCACGATAGGCACAATTACAATGAGATCTAAAAATAGTTAATATAACAGCATCTATTTTCATCTACCCTTATGTCCAGGGGGTTTCCCACAAAGAAGCCTGAATAGACATTTCGGAGTTTTAGGGGGGAAATGCAATGTGAGCAAACAAAACAAGACACAGAAAGCATTCAGTCTTCAAGATAGGCTCAAGATTTTCCTTGCAGTGAGATCTGAACAAATCGTCCGCAGCAGGGGGGGATGGACTGTGGGGCTATGCTAGGAACATTTAAGACTCGCTTGTCCCCACTGCAGAGATATGTCCTGACATGACCCAACTGACTGTCTCTTGTTAACTACTACACAGTTTGGTCTTGCCAGCTCTAAAAGTTGGCCAAAGTATCGCAGATGAACAGAGCATGTGTAACAGGTAACAGCTACCACTGATGGGGGCAGGTGGAGGTTTAATATGGGGCATGACCCATAATTATGACAGAAGAAAGCTCCCTAAATGTGACATCCTTTATAATGAACTTGGAGGCATCAGACTTTTTCAGATGAAGAAGAGGAGTTTGGATTTGATATCCTGCTTTATCACTACCTGAAGGAATCTCAAAGCGGCTAACATTCTCCTTTCCCTTCCTCCCCCACAACAAACACTCTGTGAGGTGAGTGAGGCTGAGAGACTTCAGAGAAGTGTGACTAGCCCAAGGTCACCCAGCAGCTACATGTGGAGGAGCGGAAACGGGAACCCGGTTCACCAGATTACGAGTCTACCGCTCTTAACCACTACGCCACACTGGAGTACCTTGGAAAGGCATCAAGGTCTATGCCAAGTTGTATTTCTGCCCGTGCCCTCAGTTACTCTTATTTGCTCCTCTTGTTACAGGCAATGCCTTTATCTGTTTCCTCAGACATTCCAATATCACAATCGCTACCATTTCTGATGCCCATGACATAGATTTACATCTAGGAACTGCAGGGGTTTCTGCTGGCATATTCCCCATGGAAGATACATGCATTCTGGATGAGTTAGATTCCCCAGTGTTTTAAATCAATACAGGTGGCTTGAAAATGACTATATAGTGAGTCTCAATACCCTGGTTGTCGGTTAATGGCAGTAAACATATTGTTATGGGTTTGTCAGGCAGATCCCCCTAAACTCTTAAATTGGTAAATGTTATCATTTAGCAAATATTTGGAGTATTAAAGGAAGATACAAAGAGCAGTGTAAAAATACAAGCTATGCCGCTTATCCTGTTCAGGATGTCAGTACACTGCATATGTGCCTTAATTTTCTAAATGAAACACAAACCTTGTTTAAGTTCCAAGACCCCTGGAATCTCATGCACTGTTCAGAGGAGGTTTGGGTGGCTGATAAGGACACATCAGTACCTTTAAATGTGGAGAGTTTTGAACATCCATGGAGGTCACAGGAATTACAGTAACGGTGAATGTGGACCACTATCATTAGGTCTGGCCTAGCAAGTGTTCGTAGGCACACTTAATTCCATCCCTTTTCAACGACTCTGTGCTCAAGTTGTTCAAAAGAACTAACTTCCAAGGTAGCTGTGATTCTCAAAGCCTACCAGCTAGATATAAGTATGTGTTTAAGTAGTTTGTCAAAAGGAATGGACTGAAGCTTGTGCTTTATCGCTAACACTTAGCTTTTGTATAGCACCTTTGACCCTGAATACATACAATATTACTGTTATCTCCAATGACACAATCAGTGTCATTGCTCCCAGAAGAGGAACTTGTTGTAGTCATATAGCAAAGACAGAAAGAGTTATCTGTGCGTCTTTGTAACTTCTCAGCAAGTTCTCTGCCCTGTGGAAAAAACAGCTTTCATGAACCTAACTAAAGAAACATTTGAGTTTCTAATTTATTTCAGAAAGATATATAATTGCCTTGTAATGTTTTTGGTAGGTTCAAGGTGTGTACATCCAAGGATCTCAAAGTTGCTGGGTTTGACCAATGCCCACTTCTAGGTTACACATATGTATTTCAGAGAACATAGGACATTTTGAAATAAAAATAAATTGCTGTGCACTAGCTAGGCTCCAGCATAATTAAGAGTAAACTTAGACTATATTTGTATATAGATAAATATATAAATCTATATAGACTTTACTTGAATCATTAGTGGTCTATATACACGTGTGGTCACTCATAAATGTGACTGTGCGAATTGACTGCAGGTACATTCAATAAATACCATAGATGGGGTAGATAACAATTCTTTCCATTAATCAGTGATGCAGAATCAATCCAGCCCACAGTTTTGTATGCTGCATACCTAAATATGCAGAGGATTTCAACCAATTTCAATATAGTGCCTATTGCTTACAATGATAATTATGACAAGATTTGGTCACTGCAGTATTTTCTATGGCCAGACAAAATAATATAAAACATTTTCAGCCACCCTCTGAAAAATTCATAAATGCACTGACCACCCAGGCATTCAGCTTTGAAATTCAGAGAACACATCAGATGGTTATAGCAATAAGCTATAAGTAGAAGGTAAGAGATACTGAGTAATGTTTGGTTTTCTTTGTTTCTATCTCCTGAGGGACTGTATCCTTGCGAGCAACAAAGCCATGAATGTTTAAATGCTGGTCTAACCTCATATATCTACTGACCCTGTAGAAATAAAGTGCTTCTTATAGCCATATCAGCCTCAGTGCAAAAAACCCCCATACAACTGTATTATGATTTTTTTAAAGTATCCTTTCTACTTTAGGTAATATTGGAATGCAGTAACTGTACAACCTGAAATTAACCTGATACTTATATTTTTGTAATACCTTTAAATGCCAGTCAGAAATAACACAATTATTGGATTTATTCCTATTTCACAGTTTAAGATTCTAGCATTAGTAGTGCAAATGTACATAGCAGAGTGGTTTAGGTTGGGAAAGATGTTCATGTTTATAATTTAGCACAGTTTCTTCTTGGGAAGCTGTACAACAAGGTATTTGACTCATTCTCCCTTCCTTGGCTTCATTCCTGCATTTTGTGCATGTCCTGCACCCGTCCAGCTGGTCACAAAAACTTGTCATTTACCTTAAACGGGTACAATGAAAGTTGTCTTGGCAGCATCACCTCTGTCAAAAGATCAAAACAAAGCACAACTTTGAAGAAAGCTTCATCACACACACAGTTTTGTTTCCTACCCTACCATTAAACATTTGGGAGACATTCTGGCTCCGAGCAAGACTAATATTTATCCAGACAGACAATATATTATCTATCTTGAAAGATACCCTGAAGCAAAGTTTCAGGCAATTAGTTTTAATGGTAAAAATCTTCACACACACACACACACACACACACACAACTAACTTCCCACTCACCTATATTGACTGTTGATTCTCATTCATTTTTAAACATCTTTCTCAAAGTTGAAAAACTGCAAATATTATTATGTTTCTTTCGGATGCACATGTTTCCAACCAAAAACGAGTCATTTGCATCCATAGATTGCAGTACAGTGGTACCTCAGGTTAAGAACTTAATTCATTCTGGAGGTCCGTTCTTAACCTGAAACTGTTCTTAACCTGAGGTACCATTTTAGCTAATGGGGCCTCCCACTGCCGCCGCACGATTTCTGTTCTCATCCTCATCTCATCTTAACCCGAGGTACTATTTCTGGGTTAGTGGAGTCTGTAACCTAAAGCGTCTGTAACCCGAGGTACCACTGTATTGATACTTGGAAAATATAAACTAGCAGGTTAAGCAACTCTAAGCCATATGATTTAGAGTCAACACTGAAGCCTGCCAATGTAATTTTAGAGAGAAGGATGAGGGCAAAAACAATGTCACTGCTTGATTAGTTCTGATACAGCCTTGTCTGAATGTACGCGTATGTGGAAACTGGGGATAGTGCACTCTGCTTATATTATTACCTTCCATAGGGATGAACATATTAAATAAGTTTTGTTGGAAATGGCTTTCTTAGAGGGGAAGAACTTATCTTGAAAATGGTAGTGAGCAGTTCATCTGGAAAACATCAAGGGCTATATAGTTATGTATATGAGAGGGGGGGATTTATTAAGCATGATGGGAGATGGTTTGGTGTTGTTTAGTCGTTTAGTAGTGTCCAACTCTTTGTGACCCCATGGACCAGAGCACGCCAGGCACTCTTGTCTTCCACTGCCTCCCGCAGTTTGGTCAGACGATGGTTTGGTAGTTCCAAGTAAATGTGTATGTTTGTCCTGGTGCAAGCTTTGGAGGAAAAAATCCCAGTTATGTAGTTTTCAGCATGGTTCAATCTAAGCTGCAGAAATTTCAGCTCTGGCGGATGCCTATTGGCTAGCACCCCCAGATTTGTACAAGGTGGAATAGATAGTTCAACATCTTAAAGCGGGGGGGGGGGAGGTAATCTTGACACTTATTTTATGGAGATGAGACTTGCACGCTTTTTGTGGCTAAAATGTGGTTAGAATACATTTTGAATGCTCTTTGAGAAGACAATGAATCTAAAAGATATTGATCCTACATCAGAAATAAGCTTCCACTGAGTTCAGTGGGACTTGGTCCAAAGTGACAATGTATAAGGTGGTGGTATCCAGAGAGCACTCTTTGTTGTGAAGGCCAAATTGTACCAGGGTGACTTCCATTGTTAGATGAGTTAGACTGCTATCCTAGCCTTGTTTTTGTGTATAGTTGAACTAGCCAAAGTCTTGTATGAGTTCCTTCATTCAGCTCCATGGCAATGAGAAGGAGAAAAGGACTCCTGTGAACTTTTAAAACTGATTCTGTGAGGAGATGAATCCTCATTGTGGCTTCATGCCCATTATTTTACTGCTCTTTAGAATTACAGGTTTGGAACATTTCAGCCATCTCCTACAGCAACATTGTTCCCTAGAACTTGACAAAGATTGATTAAAACCTATTTTGTTTCTATTTTTTTCTTTACAAAAAAGTGGGGGAGACCCCTTCCCTGGAATGACATCATATTTAGCTCATAGTTGGTCATCTTTACTGGACACAAATTTTACATTCCCATTATGGGCTAAGAAAATAGAACAATTGCTGTGTGGTTCTTGGCAATCAGCCAGACTTGTAAGTCCTCCTGAAAAGAGCTCAAGTCACCAGCATGTACAGTTTTGCTACTATGGTGCAAATCTTGTCTCTTGGCAGAGATGAGGAGCTTGGAAAGGTTAAGAGAGTTTATCATAAGATAAACTTGCATGCCATCCACAGTCAGCTCATCAGATACTTCCAGGGCTAGATTTATTAATCTCCTGTGCCCCGTAGAATAAAGATATGTGATGTGACATCCATCAAATTATGCCCTCATGATAAAAAAGCAGTAATGGTCTCAGAAATCGGCCCACCAGGCTGTCTTGGGTGAATCATACCCACTTTTCCTGTGCCCGATGACAGAAAAAGATGTTATATTCAAAAAGAGCAGAATTCAAGCCAAAGGCTACAAAGAAAGCACCAGGGGTGCATTCCTAAGTCTTCCTTTGCAGCCATAGCTTGAATTTTAAAAGTATCTAATTCAATTCAGGATCACAAATGAAGGAACAATCTTCCTTTGCAATTTCAGCCAGCTGGTGTCAGGTGACTGACAGGTAGGCCATCCCTTCTCATCTGCCTAAGTGGCCCATGGTGGATTGGCCTCTATGCATCTGACTCTTTAGCCGGATCCAGTTCCTCAACCCTAATATAAACACACTGGAACACCATAGCCAATTAGAATGATAGTTCCAGCTCTGGAAATTTTACACTGTCAAGGGTCAGGCGGCCTGCAGTAGTAGTAATAGTGGTAGTATTTGCTCATTCATTATTTTTAATTAGGTCTCGTATCCCACACTTAATTATAAGGTCCCAAGCTGGGTTACAACAATGGAAATCTGCATTAAAACAATATTAAAATCAGTTAAAACAACTATATTTATATAGTTAAAAGGCTCCCTTCTCCCTCATGCCTTCTTTGGTTTTATTCAAAAATTGAAATAGGCTCAACAGTTAATGGGGTGGCCATGTGTCCTACTTTACATAGGACAATCTTCTGTTTGAGGACATACTTTCTTGGGAGGACTATCCAGTCCAAGTTAAGTTTAAAACCATAAGGAGGAGGAGCTGCAAGGTCTTCAGCTTGCCCCTCAACTGTGAGGACCTGGGACAGCAGACTGAGCAGGCACATAAGGTCACCTGGTCACAGTCTTTCTGTAAATAGCATCTCTAAATAGCTGTACTTACTACATCTTTTTTTGTTTGTTTGTTATGAATTTCTTCATCTTTTTCTATGTGCAAGTGGCAATGCTTCAACAGAAAGGGGGGGGCATCTACTAGATTTTATATGAAAGTGTATGACAGAATGTTCATTAAGATAATCCAATATAAGCACATTAGTGCTTTGTTTCTAAATGAACTTTCAAATTAATTTTGATTATATCCGGAGGATTTTGCAGGCAGCTTTCTTACACAATAGATGAAAAAAAGCCCAATAAAGTGGTATCTTAAGAAGCTAACAGAATCTTTTAAGTCATGATACCCACCGTCTCTAAGGCTCAGGGTAATTCCAAATAGGACACCGTGTAGAATTGCCATTTTGCCCAGCTTGGCTTCTGGATCCTCAGTTACATTCCTATCTGCACAGAGCGAGGTTTCCCCCCCGCCAAGCCTGCAAAGTCTCTAGGGGAGAAAAACAAGGAGAGAGAAATAAATGTAATAAAGCAGATTAACGTCTTCCACATTCTCCTCTTCCCACTGCCGGCACTGATGAGAGAGGCTATCATTCACATAATGGGTTCATCTCTTCCTGCCAGTATTCCTTCCTGAGCTAATCCATCAAGCTCCATGGAAGAGCCGAAAGGAGAGGGGCAGCATCTCTGTGGGGGACATGGAGCTAGGTTCTCCCCACTCAGCCTCCACCAGAAACACCATTCCTTTGGTTTGCTCCAACCTCTCCGCTGACACCTCCACAAATCTGTGGTGATGTTAAAAATAATGCAGAGATGCTAGTACAGGAGCAGGCAACCCTTTTTCCTGCTGAGGGCCACATTCTGTCAGGGGCACATGATTATTGTGGGTAGGGCCAGAACAGGCCACCCCCTTTTCTCCCTTTTTTCTGGGCACCCCTCTCTCTCTCCTCTTTCTCTCTGCACCTCTCTTCTCTCTCTCACTTTCTGACATCCTCTCTTTCTGTCCTGTCTCTCTGCACAGCAGGCTGTTGGTGGAGGGAAAGCTTTCTCTTCCCAGAGGTCTAAACTAATACCTTGCAGAGGGCTTTTTTGAAATTGACTTAAGGGCTCTAGAAATTTTGTCTGGAGGCCACATGCATCCCTGTGCTGGTGGATGCTGCATCCCTCAGTTTCCCCCCCCAGAGCAGAGCCATGAGAGTGGGCAGGAGGCAGCCTACAAGGGTAACAGCTTCATACCACAGTTGCTGTGCTCCTCCAACTCAACAGAGAGGTGTAAGGTGATGCACAAAGGAAAGGTCACACCGCTGTCTCTTGCTCAGCGCTGGGCTCTTCCTTCTTCCTCTTCATCTTGCAGAAGCCATGGAGCCCACAGAAGCAAGCAAAGGTGAACTGGGGCATCCCCTGGGACAGGCAAAGGACAGGAGCATCCAAGGAAATCTATACAAAGTAAGGTGAGAGAAGAGAAAAGCTTGCGTTTCTTTCCCAGGTTTCCAACAGAACATCTCTTACTTTCACTTTACAGCAGCGTTCCAAATGCTCAGTGCATTAGAGAACAGCGGGTTTTCCACCTAGAATGAATCTCGGCTCCCCCACCTAAAACCTCTACATATTGGGGGGGGGGGAGACCGGGGACCGATCTCAGTGGTGAGGCATATGCTTTGCAAGCAAAAGGTCCAAAGGTTCAATCCTTAGCATCTCCAGTTGAACATCTTTCCCTGAGACCCTGCAAACAACCAGAGAAGATCGTCCTGCACCAGATGGGCAAGGCCTCACCTGGTTGGTAGAAGGCAGCACCCTACATGCCTTGAACATGGATAGCTGCTGCCACCCACAATCAGATTCAATCAGTGGTGGACCTACATTTGGGGGCCCTGAAGTTTAAACTGTTATGGGGGAGCCCTTCGCAACCAGCAATGAGCTCTGGGCAACCACTGCTATCTTCTTAATTGGGTTATTCTACAACACATCACCACATTTTTTAAAAAAATTAACTACTACATCTCAGTTTTTCATTAAAATTGCTGTACTGGATTATCTCATGTCAAAGTCACTGATGTGGACAAAAATTTCCTATGTCTTATAGTTTGAGTTATTGGAGTGAGGGCATGAAAATTAGGGAAATGTTACATATATGCATGATGCACTTTTTAAAGCAAATTTTTAAAGCCATGTGGACTAAGGTCGCTTCTGGGGCTTCTCCGGGATTAGGGCTCTGAAGATTAAGCTTCATAATTTCATAGTAGATCCACCCCTGGATTCAATCCATGATTCCTCCCCCCAAATATATAGTTTTGACACTCCCCACTTTTTGTTTGTTTTGTTCCCAACAAAGGCCACCAGAAACTCATCTTTGAAAAAGCTGTTTCGTAAATATTATGTGGAAAGGATTTCTATTGCAAACACTTCAATATGAAATGCACACTGTAGCTGGGTTTGCCAGAGGCACCCCCCGCCCCCTGCACACCTGAAACCACATATGCCTTTCATGAATACACAGTTTAGGTATGGGTCGCCTCGCATCTCTCACATTAGAAATTAAGCACTGGGTGGCTGCCCCTCATCTCCATCATTCTGCCTCATTGTTTCTGACTATGGTCCAGTGACTCACATGTTATCTTTGTGGTATGGTTGTTGCTGCAAAGCCACTCACCCACTTCTGGCTTCCATTTGGCATCAGTAATGTATGGATGTTCTAATCGTTCACCTTTCCTACACCAGCGTGGCTAGCTGAGGTGGCAGAGTACAGCTTCATCACTGTAGGTTTGAGCCCAACAATGGGCATGAAGAATTGCTATCATGAATTTGGTACGTATTGACTCGTTCATCCCTTCATTCACACATTTTATATCCCAGCCTTTCTCGCAAACTATCTCAAGGCAGGTCACACTCAAATAAAAGATGCAATGAAACCAGTCAATAAAACAATAACATCACCTCAAAAGATAGGTGGAGCAATGAGTGTAAAGGTGACCTTTGTAAAGGAGGCTAAATTCGACATACACGTACATCCCCCTGGGCTATTTTTCAGCTGGAACTTGGTGGAACTCAGTCCTGGCATCTCTCAGGTGGGCACCATTGCCATTATAAGAGAACAAGGGAGGCTGTTCATAGTCAGTTCTGGCACCTCTTTTTCTAGAAAAATAACACAGCACCCCCCCTCCCAACTCTCAATCCTCCATTCAGGCAAGCAAAAGGCATAATCATGAATCAATGTTAAGCAACGGCTTGGAGGCCAACTTAACCACGAAGAATATGAACTAAGCGACAGCTTTAGGTTGGCCTTATTGCAGAGCAATGTGAAGCAATGTGGGCACCAGTCATTTCCCTCACTCCATCTCTGCGATGTTGTTTTTAAAATGAGGTTTCATCTTAAGATGAAAAGATGTCTAGGGCCTGAACTTCTCGTTGGGGATCATAGAGACTCCAGCAAAGCCCTAAGAATTCTTTTCTTTGCACAAAGCTTGTGAAGTAAAATCAAACATACGGAGTCCAAATGACTTTTTTCTTCTCCCCGCTAGCCCCCCTGCCACCATTCGCACTCCTGCCCCCACCGAATCACAGCATTCCAATCTGCGAATTACCTCAGCCAAATGAAAAAGAAAAGGCGAAAGCCAAAATCCCCGGTTTGCGATGGTTGCTCTTCAATAGCTCGGCTAGCACTCAGGGCATGATTAAGCCCTCCAAGGTTACAGGGAATATTTGACTGACCTTCTAACTTCAAACACAGCCGCTCGGCATTCATTAAATAACCCTTCAGCACCTCAGAACAGTCAGTTCCACATGGCAATAAAAATTGCATCCCTCCCATCCTGTAACCTGGGAACCAGAGGAGGCTGGCTTTATCCTTTCTGTTTCAGCCTGACCTTGTCTTTGCAGTGACAGGCCCTGCCTTCAGCACAAAGCAGTCCCTGTGCAGATAAGCAAGACAAATGCACACCTCCCATTGAACTCACTTATTCAGCTGCACGCTCACCACCCCCACCCCCAGTTTCATTTGACAGGTTTTGGTATACCTGTCTGCCAGACACCTAGTTTAAATAAGGCCCCTGATGCTTCCTCTGAGACTCACAAAGCAATGACTAGGGACTCCTTAATGAGTCTTCCTGTCTGCAAGGTTTGTGAGCAGACCGCCAGCTCTGTGCCTCTCTCAGCTGCTTATATTGCATGCGTGCAAAAGAGTTTTCTGAGGTAATGGCCAGGAGAGAGCCAGTTCTACCAAATGAAGCTGTTGCAAGGCTAGTTATGCAGCCACAAAAGTGAACTCATTCTTTGCTTTCAGCCTGCAATTTTGCTGTCAATCCTCTCTAGGTAAATGGCATTGTCAGAAAGTGTTAGAATAAGGCTTAGTGGACACCAGATTCCATTAAAGGAAGGCAAAGGAAATAGGAAAAAGGAAACCCACTTTCTATGGACATCCTTAAATTTTCAGCCTCTGTGTTTATATTTCCCCCCCCCTCAGGTTTTCATGTTAAAAACAAAAACAATTGCTAAAAGCAAAGTAGAGGAATAAAATGAATGCCAAACATCACAAATGACCAGAAAAATCAGTTTTTAAGCCATTTTCTTTATTTTCTTAAGTTTTTTATTGCATATTTTGAATACATAGCATAATACACTCAGGAAGAAAGTGTGTCACATACTGTTTTTTATTGTGTTCTGAAATGGTTTCAAAACTTCTTTTACTATAAATGTCTGCAAAGCATAACACTGTTTAAAAGAGGGCATAAGATCTTGATTTTTTAAAACAAAAGTAAAAATACTTGAAAATGTCATGTTTGCACCTGCAATATCAGGCACTCTCCATCTGGTCTTCATCTCCTTATTTGACAGTCTGAAGGGCTGTGGTGGATTTCAAGTTGTCCATGGCCTACAATACGCACCTGCTGTTAATAAATATATAATTTAAAGTACATGTGTATCAAGTGTCATAAGAGAGCACAACTCATCAGAACTGGCTGGCACGTAAATGATGCAAACAAATTGCTTCCACTGGGCTCAATGCTAACGTGTCCTGCTAAATAGTTTTGGAAGCTTTGGTTTCCAAAGTTAATATATTTTTCAACTAAGTATTCAGGATAGATGCCCTGCTGCTTTTGGATTTGAAAGAGGAAAAGTATTTTTATTTTATGCATTTGCTTTCCCCAGCTTAATGTGGCTTTCCACTTTTACCTGAGCACCTAAAACTATTTTCTTCGTAGGCTCATTAAATAGTGCTAGTAGAACACTGTGATCTGGTGTGAGAGAGTAGGTTGGATGAAGAGACTTATTTTATTTTATTTTATTTATTCCCTCCCTCCCTCCAGGGTGTGTTACAGCATTAAAAACAATTTAAAACAACTTACAGCTCCTGTTTTGGAGCAGGTGGGTGGATTGGATCACCTTCTGGTCCCTTCCAACTCTATGACATATAGAAAATAATTATTTTTTTAAAAAAATACATTGTCATGGTTCTTTTTTTAAAAAAATAATAGATTAAGATCAAAAGGATTGTGCATAGCCTGATGTGGAAATGTGATGAACTGGACTCAAAATGAGAAAAATGAAAAACAGAACAACACAAAATGGACAAATTTGTCACTCTCTACTCAAGGCAACTCACTAAAAAAGTAATCAATAAAACAATCAAAATATAAATATAAGATTAGGAATGTACATATGAGAGGTCAAGTTAATTAAATGTACTTAGATGAATTGCCTTCATTGCCATTCATTGGGGCCAATGGATTGCTCAGGTGAACCTTTGTAAGTAAGCTGTTCCTCAACCTGAGCACCACAACTGATGGACCTCTCTTTTGTGTCTGCCTGCTACTCTACAGTGCAATGGAATTCTTGGGCAGGTTCTCACAAGAAGTGGCAAATCTGAAGATACTCTGGTATCAGGTGATTTAAGGCTTTAAAGTTCTTAGGCTGTACCTTGAATTGGTAAGAAGTGTAGTTGATACACAATCATATATATATATATATATATATATATGCAGGTTTTGGTGTCCTCGGGTGTCTTCCCGTGTAAAAGTTGGGGTGTCTAGGCGACGTTTCGACGAGGTCTCACTCGTCATCTTCAGGCTGGTGCTTTCGGCTTCTTGTTACTGGAACTAAGCCGAAAGCACCAGCCTGAAGATGACGAGTGAGACCTCGTCGAAACGTCGCCTAGACACCCCAACTTTTACACGGGAAGACACCCGAGGACACCAAAACCTGCATTCCTGTACCCGTGAAAATCTACGAAAGCATATATATATATATATATATATATGTCAGTCACTTATCTTGCCCAAGGCAACCCAAAGCCATAAGGAAAGAGAAATACATTAAAAGCATCCCACCCAAGTTATATGCACCAATCTTCCAATCCCTGCAAACATCCTAGTGGCAACTTTCTGGACCAATTCAAGTTTCGGAAATGTCTTCAAGATCAGCCCCATGTAGAGCTCCTTAACAGTAGTCCAACATCATGGTCGAAAAGGAAGCCATGGCAAAGACAATAATCTGCTTACATTGTAGCATGAGATTGCCTGCTAATGGGATGGAGTATACCAAAGTACCTGAGGTACATTTGCTTGCTGGAAGACCTGGGTGGTCTGAATGACAAGAGCCCCAATTCCATTAGGGAGCTATTGATGTATTTAGGAAAGCTTGTAGCATGGAGCCTTTTAAAACTGACCCTCCACTTTCCATTCAGGGGGCAGACAATGATGAACGAGCCTGGAAGAACAGAGGCAGCACAGCTGAGTCAAATGCTCCTGTTCTTCTTGAAAATGGAGAAAAGGGATCTTTTAAGGAGTGAGGAATAATTAAAAAATAAATGAACTAGCGCTAGTGGAGTGACAGATGCCCTACTTGATTTGCAAAATCCAAGCATGTTTCATGGCCCTGTTCTGCCCTTTCTATTCAAGGGAGAGGATCCTTTGAATAGAACCCTCTGCAGCCAAGAAAATGTGGTGAGCATTAAAAATGTAAAGCCAAAGAATTCTCTTTAGTCATTTGCTTAACCTCAGACTGTGTTTGTCACTGTCAGAGTGATGAATTGGGAGCTGTCTGAAATCAGCATGCTCACTTTAATAATGTCACTTTCCCTGAGCTCTAATAAATGTCTTTCTGAACCAGCTGGACAGAACCAATTCCTTAGACCAACAATTACCGATTTCACCAGGTTTTTGCTCTTCTTAACTGTTAGGGCCCTGCTGCTGAAATTGGAAATCTTTATCCATTTTCACACATTCTCCCAGCCACGAAGAAAGGAAGAGATCCAGTTTGTTAAAGCCCTACAAAAGGAATTAGAGGGAAATTGTCCCATGGAAAGAGCAAGGAAATTGACTGATTTTTAATTCCCATTTCGACCACCGACACAAAAAATGTATATTGGTAAGGGAACTATTCTTCTCTTGGAAGAAGAAGAAGAAGAAGAAGAAGAAGAAGAAGAAGAAGAAGAAGAAGAAGAGGAGGAGGAGGAGGAGTAGTAGTTTGGATTTGATATCCCACCTTTCACTCCTTTTAAGGAGTCTCAAAGCGGCTAACATTCTCCTTTCCCTTCCTCCCCCACAACAAACACTCTGTGAGGTGAGTGAGGCTGAGAGACCTCAAAGAAGTGTGACTAGCCCAAGGTCACCCAGCAGCTACATGTGGAGGAGCAGAGACGCGAACCCGGTTCCCCAGATTACGAGACTACCGCTCTTAACCACTACACCACACTGGCTCTCTTAGGGCATATCTAATATGTGTCCAGGAAAAGTGCAGGAGCAAACATTAGAATATAAATGGACTCCTTCAAAGGAGCCTGCTCTGACCAAATCATGGGTAACAGTCATCCAGGCAGAGGATGATGTCATGACCACATATTTAGTCCTGATCACATGAGTGCATCAATCTCTCTAAGATCTACACTGAAAGGATTAGACTAGCCAGCATCAAATCTTCAACCACAGAAATGATTGTTTTGTATCAGGTGATTACAGGCCTGTATAATTTAAGGGTGCATCTCTATGCCTGGATGCCATTTAAAAAATCCAGGAATGTGAGGTTGTTGCTACATAACATTATACCACCATTTAAAATAAAGAATGATTTAATGAGCACATACACTTTTGTTCCTGTCCTGCTCTTCACAAGCCAGAGTCAGGATTGCCACAGTGTGCAAACCTGGGCTGAGGGTTTGTTTGGAGAGAAGGAAATGATAAGCCTACATGGGCCCATGGGCTTGTTTCCTCACCTGGCCTGTGAACTGGGTCTATAAACCTGCATGTTTGAACTGCCAAGCGATAAAGGAAACACAAAACAAACTTTAGCTGTATCAACATTTGACCAAGAAAATTGCAGACAAAATAGGTACAGTACTATCTTACACTGAGTCAGACTATTGGGTCTATCTAGCTCAGCCTTGTCTATTCTGAATGGCATTGTCTATACTGATTCTCCAGGATTTCCATCAGGAATTCCCCCCAGCCTTACCTGGAGGAAACAGAAACTGAACTTGGGACTTGGGGCATGAAAAATATGTGGTCTGCCACTGAGATACAGCACCTCCTCCAGGACTCAGTTGTTGAATATTAACCAAGAAAGTCAAGTGATAGTGAGATGTTAGGCACCTCTAGAACTGTGGTAGATTCTCCTGCAAGAAAGAGCATGTGCTCCCTTAGATGGCTACTCATAATAAAAAGTATACAAAGTTAAGGTAAAGGTAAAGGGACCCCTGACCAACTCTGGGGTTGCGGCGCTCATCTCGCTTTATTGGCCAAGGGAGCCGGCGTACAGCTTCCAGGTCATGTGGCCAGCATGACTAAGCTGCTTCTGGAGAACCAGAGCAGTGCACGGAGATGCCGTTTACCTTCCCGCCGGAGTGGTACCTATTTATCTACTTGCACTTTGATGTGCTTTTGAACTGCTAGGTTGGCAGGAGCAGGGACCGAGCAATGGGAGCTCACCCCATCGTGGGGATTCGAACCGCCGACCTTCTGATTGGCAGCTCCTAGGCTCTGTGGTTTAATCCACAGCGCCACCCGAGTCCCAAAAAGTTAAGGTACCTAGATGCAATTTATCATCATCATCATCATTATCATTATTATTGCCAGCTGCAACTTGCCTGAGTTGAAATTGTACTGATTTGTTTCCCTACCCCACCCCTGATGTGAGCTGCTTTGAGTACATTTAAATGGAAAAGGGGTAAAGAAAAATAAATTCCCTATTCAGTGTAATAATAGGAGCGGTTTTATTAGTTGCCATTTTAGTCTGCTGGTTATTTATGTATCACATTTTATGGTTTGATTGCCATGTAACTCACCCTAGGACCTTTTGGTGAAGGGCAGCTAATAAATAAATATTTGTGACACAGGAGACCCAGCCTCTCAGGTATCCAGTGGCCCTAAAAAAGCTTTCACAACCAAACCACCTTGATCCTATTCAGTCTGAAATAGGGAGCAGAGGATAGAACATTGTACTATCCGAGTTTAGGGTGAGTGGGTCCAACCACTAAAGGAAGCAGGGCTCCTGCACTTTAAACATGTGTGTAGAAGAGGGAAATCCAACAGCTGTAGCAATAAAAGCTACACCTGTTGAAATCCCCTCTTCTAAACAAGTCTTCAAGGTATAGGAGCCCAGCTTCCTTTTGTGTCTGGACACGCTTGCAGGGATAGTGGTTTGCGGGCTAGATCAATGGGGGAGACCCTCTCGGTCTAATTTTGCCGCTCTGGATCATTGCGATGATAACATGAGATAACTCCTACATATGCTGCTCTGAGCTCCTTCAAGGAAGGCTACAGTGCTAACATTTTCTCCCCTTCAGCATTCTTTTACCCCGACCCTCCTATTCTTTATTTCTATTTCCCATTCTTTTCCTGGCCTTCTTGTATTAACCACCAGCCTAAGAAATACACACACATATCACAAAAGGACATACCACCCACCTCTTGCATTTAAAAAAAAAGCCTTAAAAAGAAATAAACTCAATTAGCAAAGGGAAGCACTGGCTCTTTAAATGGAAATAATGGTGCCTATACAGCTGGCGTTTCAGGTTGCAGTGTTTGCAGAGAACCACTAATTAAAACATTGCTTCTGTAAAGTATGCTGATCCCATTGATTCCAATCCCAACCCCAACCCCCCTCAGCCTTCATATACACACAGTTAATTTGCTGCTAGGAAAGCAAAGTCGCAAGGGTCCTCATTATAAAAATTTCACTGGCTGCAGCTAATGGTTGTAATTAATAGGTGCAATAAATTTCAAATGGCCAGCCAGGGTGTTCATTAGTTTCAGCCTGAGTCAGCACCAGTGGGGTAGCCTGTTACTTAATAACCCATTTTCTAACTAACTGAAAGGGAGGGTGGGGAGGGTTCGACCCACCCGGCTATGGTTCAACACAACCAGAATTCTCTCGTCTCACTTGCCAAAAAGAGACAGAGCTGAGTAA